ATTATAGAGTATTATATCTGTTACTATATTTTAAATACTTTATAAATTTAATAATAAATATTACAATAATAATAAATTAAATAAATTAATTGATTAAAAAATATAATATGCTAAATGTTGTAATACATTATTACTACAAATAATTAAAATACAATTAGTCAGACAACTAATAAAGGCAAAAATAAAATTTATTACATATAATATATATATAGTAGTTTACTAATTATTATTAATGATTTTTATTATTATGTTATTAGAGTATATTATTTTTAATAATGAAAAAAATATATATTTTGTTTGCTATTTAATCAATTAATTAGTTAATGCAATTTTCATGTTTTTAAAAAAATATTTTTTTACATAAAAATCAATGATTAATGACTGAATAAACTTTTTTTTAAATTAATTAAAATTATTTTTACTTAGTCTGCAGTTTTTAAATACATTATATATATATATTTTTATAAATATAGATTATTTATAATTTTTGAACAAAAAATATTTATCTATCTGTTTGAAAATAATATAATTTTTTTAATTGTATAAATTTAAATATATAATCAAGCTAATACATTGCAGATAATACAACAATATATTTTTTTAGCATAATTATACAATTTTTTCATATCAATGTAAAATTATATACATTATATATACAGTATATATGACAACTAATATTAAACTATTGGGAATTTTATTGTCATTATTAGGATATGATATAACATACTAAAAAACTTATATACATTAATTTAATGATAATATATATATATATATATATATATATATATATATATACAGTATATAATAATACATTACAATATTTTTTTACATACAAATGTTTTTATGATTCCCAATTGAATTGTTGGCTAAACATAGAAACATTGTATACTTAAAAATAAATACATTTTGTTTTACATTTTGAATATTTTTTTAGTGTTAGAAATAAGATTTTATTTCTTTTAAATAATAGTAAATATTGTTATATTATATTAATATTGAATATTTACAACAACAACAAAATAATAATAATAAAATATTAATTTACTTAATTATAATAAAAATAAATGTTTAGTAAATATTAACTCAATAATAATAATAATAATAATAATAACAATAAACTAAAATCTGTTTTATTTTTTGTTGGCTACACCCATATTAAAATAAATAGTATTTTTCTAGTAAATTATTAGTTATATAATATTTTTTATATATACACATTGTAAATATTTAATAATAAATTGTATGTATAATTGTATACAAAAATTAATAATAGGTTATTAAATGTAATATAAATATAAATTATTAGTTTAACAAAATTAAATGAATTTATTTTCTAATAATAATAATAATAAAATTTTAGTTAATAAAAAACTTTATTATTATATTATTATACTGTATTTACAGTATTTTATCATTAAAATCTATTTTGTATAAACTTAATGATATTTATTTTAATAAATATTTTACATATATATATATACTGTATATTTATTCAAAAAATAAATTTTATACTTTTATATTAATAATAATAATGTTGTCCAAAACAGATAAAAAACTCATATTTATATATTTATATAAATATTTGTATTATAATTGAAAAAAATAAAGTCAATAATATTTTTTTGATTCATAATTTAATAATAATAATAATAATAATATTATTATTATTATTATTATTATTATATACTATATTTTGTTTGTATTATAGCTCAATGTTTTGTTTAATTATGTTTTTTATTTTTATTTATACACACAAAATAAAATCATTTTATATATACTAGATAATTCACTAATGATATAATTCATTTTAAATGTAGTAATTATTTTATTAAACATTATTAATAATTAAATAAAAATATTAAAAAATACATCAATCTGTGTCACTATTAATGTTTAAAAAATAAATATATATTTGTTTAATTAATTAATTAATTAATATTTTTAATATAACTTTATTTAAATTAATTGTTTGTAAATTAATATTGTAAAAATAAATTAACAAAAAAAATAATGTAGTTATTATTATAAAAATAAAAATTATTTTTTTTGGTAAACAAAATAAAAGTTTAATTTTAAAAAAACTAAGTGCACATTTTATAGTTTAACTTAAACACATATATAGAAATAATAATATATTATTATTATTATTATTATTATTACATATTTTATTATATAATTTGTTATTTGAAATTTTATATTTAGTAAAAAATACGTATACTTTCATTAAATAAAATAAATTATTTTAATGGCACAAAATAAAATTATTATTATTATTTTTAATACATTATAAAATAAACCTCTCTCTCTCTCTCTCTCATCCTCACACATACACATACACATACACATACACATACACATACACATACACATACACATACACATACACATACACATACACATACACATACACATACACATACACATACACATACACATACACATACACATACACATACACATACACATACACATACACATACACATACACATACAGCCATTATATGATAAGTATGCTAATAATAAATAAATAACAAATAATAAACATTATAGTCGTCAATTGTTATTATAACTGTTTTAAAGCATAGCTGTATAATATATAAATAAATTTACTGTATATATCTTAATAAAATAAAATATTTTTTAGTATATTAACTACTATTATTGTCATAAACAAAATTGCTGCTCATATTATTAATGATATTTTTCATATAGTTTATAAACAATTTATTATTATTATTATCGTTATTATTATTATTATCGTTATTATTATTATTATTATTTTATATATAAAAATATTTTATATATTTTAACATCCTAGACATTAATGTGTTTTTAACAATTTAAATTATTTATTATTGTTATTGCTGAAATAAATAAATATAAATACAGTAAATAAATAATATTAATCTATTATAAAATATTAAATCTTTTAAATACTTATTATTATCAGTATTGTAATAATAATAATAATATTATTATTATTATACTAAATAAGTTTAGATAAAATATTTGTTAAGTATTTAATATTAAAGAGTCTTTTAAAAAAATAAATTTTTTCATTTGAAAAATCTCAATAAAAAAATTAATCATAAATTCTATACAAATTACTAGGATTTTAATAAATTTTTTATAAATAAAAATATAAAAGATTATTATTATTATTATTTATATTTTATCTAGCGTAAATTTCTATTGAAAAACTTATTAAAAAATTTTTTATTATTATTATTATTTCTAAAAATATAAATCTTATAATTTAACGCTAAAATCTTTTTATATTAAATTATAAAATTAAATTCTGATAATAAAATATTTTGATAATAAAAAAATAAAATTAACAATAAAAACCCGGATCTTTATATCGCTTAGAAATTTATATATATATATATATATTATAAAAATTATTATATATATATATTATATAATATATTGTGTTATATATTTAATACTAGTTTAATAAATTAGATTAATAGAAAAAAAACATTTTTTTTATTTGTTTAATAAAATATTTTTCATCAACAAAAAAATAATAATAATTTTATTATTTAATATAGATTACTATGAATTTATAAAATTAATTTATCAAACATTAATGTAATTTTGTTTTTTTTGTTGAAAAATCAATATTTTTATTGACTGAATATTTATTTGATTTACAAATATGACGGCTATTAACTAATAATCATAAATAAAATAATTAAATAAATCTAAAAAAATAAATTATAATTTTATAGATATACTGTACAGTATATATATATTAACTACAATATGTAATAATATGATAATATTAACAAAAATAGTTTTAATATTTGCTAAGATTTACGAGCAGAAAAAATATCATAATTTATATAAGATATATACTATATATATATATATATATATATATATAATATTTATCATTTATATTATTAAATTATGCAAATGTCGTGTGCATTAAGCAAATGTTTTATCAAATATTACACACAAATAATAAAAATATTAGTAATAATCTAATATTAAATATGATATTAATTATATGTGACAAATACACACATATATACATATACATACACACATATGTATATGTATATACACAACACACACACACAAATAGTACATACATTATTATATATATATATATATATATATATATATATATATTTATAATGAGATTTACATTAATTTAAATACATTTTCAAATATTATTTATATTATTAAACTTTTTAACTACTTTTAGCATAAAATATATTTGAACTGTATATAGTGTTGGCAAAAAAGAGAAATTTATAAAATAATAGAGAAATTTCTAGAAAGTTTCTAAAAGAAATTTTTATTTATGGGATCCCCATGGTTAATTTTGTTTTCTCGATATTTGTTATCTTTATCATTGTTTTTATAAGTAATATTTAAATGTTATTATTAGTATTTTAATTATTAATTAAAGTAAAAAATTAATTTATTTAATTATATTAAACTATGGTATAATAAAATGGTGAATAAAATTTTACAAAACTGATTATTATTAAATAATTATAATTCTTAATATAGGTATCCCATTTGTATATTAGTATTATACAGTAATCTACATTATATAGTATAATATTATATGTATAGTAGTGTCTCATTAATATATTTATAGTTTTACAATATCTATAGATATGGGGATCCCATAGTATAACAAAAAAGTTAAATTTCTATAGAAATTTATTACTGAGAAACTTTCTAGAAACTTTCTCAGGGAAATTTATTAGAAACTTTCTATTTGCCCATCTCTAACTGTATATAAGTATAGAAACATAATTTAATTTACCAAATAAAAAAAAAAGTTTTCTTATTAAATAAAAAATATTTTTATTTTAAAATCAAAATTTTATTTATAACACACACACACACACACACACACACAACAATTTATTTTAACATTACTATTATTATTATTATTATCCAAACTATAAATTAGTTAACGGTGTTATCAAGCAAATTGAATTTACAGTAATAGTAATGGCAATAAAATAAATTGTCTAAATTAAATTGTCTATCAATTTAACCAGGGATAAATATTCTAGTGTTATTATTAGATCAACAAATTAAATTATTAGATATTTTATTTTTATTTTTTTTGATAATAAATATTATTTTATTTATATTATTACTTTTTAAAATAAATCGTTATAATAATAAGTATTATTATTATTATTAAAAATACAGTATAAAAAATATATAAATATAAAAAACTGTATTTTTTTAACAATAAAGAGAATTATATATTAAATATAATTTTTATATTTAATTTTATATAATTTATTTTATAAAAAATGTTATTTGAAAAAAATACTTTAAATTAATCTTTTTTAAAATAAATAAAAAAAATAATACAATTTTTCCAGTATATTATTACAATATTTTTTTTAAAATTATTATTATTAGTATCACTAATGCATCTCAAATGAGTTACTATTAGTATTGTTATGATTGTTAACATTATTATTATTATTATTATGATAATTATGATTATGATTATCAACAGTATAGCTATGATTAGTGCGCCAATCATATTGATTAACAATATTAGGATAAATCCTATTAAAATCATTATTATCATCAAAATTATTATTATTATTAATGTTTCTACCGTCACCACCACCACCATTACCAGCATACCTGTCCCTAACACCACCACCACTACCACTATCATCACCATTACAATCGTTACAACGACTATTGTGATGATCCGGTTCCTCAGTGTAGGAGTGTATCCAAAACAAGGCAACCAACGGTATACAGACTACCAGCGCTGTCAGTAGCAGTGCCAGACCCTGACAGCCGCTCAGGTCTACAGTCTTTTCGTAGACCAGTTTGTAGATTTCGTTGCTAACCAATGAGGTGTTGGCCTCGAAAGCCGAAAATAGTGAAAAAATTTTGCCCATTTCGTGATGACGGAGAAGCTTGGATAGTCGGGCCCTGAAACCGATAACAGCATAGGCACCCAGACAGCCGGGTATTATCGAATAATAGTAGGCCTGATCGTGTTGCCATATACCACGTATTAGACACATTGTACCATAAGATACCAGTCCTATAAGCGATAGGGTAGTGTCCCGTAGTTGTAGAAACTAATATAAGAAAAAATATTGAAAATTTCAATTTCAATTGTTTAAGCGAAAAATACATATATTTTATATGTTATTTAAAAATATTTATTTAGAGATTATTTTTGTTTGTTTTGTAAGCAAAATATTTAATTAGTTAATTAATTATTTTTTTGGAAAAAAAATAATATAACAAAATAAATAGTTATCATTAGTTATCATCAAAAAATACTAAAATTAAAGATAAAATTAAATTATTAATAAATTATTAGTAAATTATTAGTAAATTATTAGTAAATTATTAGTAAATTATTAGTAAATTATTAGTAAATTATTTTTATAATATATATATATATATTTACCCGAAATAATATGGGAATCGCTAGTAGAGTACCGCAACCACGTATTACGTACTCAATAGCTAAATGATTATTATAGGTGTGGACATCCCACGAGTATACCCGTACTGACCATTGATACATAAAAACTAGCGGACCCGTACTGGCCGCTGTCCACATTGTTAGCGATAACAACAGTAGCCATATCTGGCATCGGCCATAATTTGGTCTCAATTTAAACATTTTGGCCATCATTTTGTGACCATTTCTCAGATTAAGCAATAGTTTTAAGGGATGTATGTGTCGATAGCGTTCAAACAGCCGAAGCTTATGTTCGGCCCGATTGTTGGCGGTGTTCTCGCCGTCTATGTTGTGTCCATCAACTGTATCACCGGTTGTTACCGCGGTATTGAATCGTTGCTCCCATACCTTGATATGGTGTTCCTCGTAGACCATTAGGACTGTCCAGACAAGTACGGCAGCGAACGAGACACCGCCTATGGCGTACACACCGGAATAGTTGTGCAATTGTTGGCCACTGGGTTCGTAAAATGTAGGCCTATCAAGCATCCAGGCGCCCACATAGGTGCCCAGTGCTTGAGCTTTAATAAACAATTAGAGTTAGAGAGAGAGAGAGAGAGAGAGAGAGAGAGAGAGAGAGAGAGAGATAGCATAGATATAACAAATTGATAGCATGTAGTTTAGTTAGACACTTATATAATATAAATTAGCTAATTATTTGTTAGTGTGGTGACAGTTCAATCAGTACTAAATACACACACCCACCCACACACACATACACACACACACACACGTACACAGACATAAACATCAGACACTAATACATGAAAACAAAATTATATATAATAATAATAATACGTGACTACACGTACCAAATAGGTTGACAATCTCGGCAACGGCTATCCTAATGGTAATCATATGCGATGGACTGGTCATCAGTATGTAGGCCCATATGCCAGTTAACAGTGCAAATAGGCCACCAGTGATAATGCCCGGTATATACGATATTAATATGTAGTATTGGGCTATTTGAGGATAGGGTGGTGGGAATAATAATAATAATATTATTTAATAAATTTCTATATACAGCAATAAATCACAAATAAGTGATTAATATTATTTAATAGTTGTAATGATATAATAATAATCATAAATATCATAATTAATTTAGTTACTATTATTTTTGTCAAAATTTTCAAATAGTCAAATAAAAAGTTATTATATTATACAATATTTTTTTAATAAATATTCTGTAAATATTTTTAAAAAAAAAACTTTAAAAGTTTAACTGCATATAAAATTTGTAGTCTATATATATTATTCTTGAATTAGTTATATAATTAGTTGCAGAAAATATTAAACTAAATTTGTTTTATTAAAACTATTATATTAATAATAGTAATGTTATAATAATAATAATAATAATAATCATAAATTTCATAGTTAATTTAGTAATTATTAATTTAATTATTATTTTTTTGTTTTATTTACAAAAATTAATTATTTATTCCTTAATTTACTATTATATTTACTAACTGTAAAAATTTAATTGCAACTAAAATTTGATGTTTATATATTTTTATGAATTAACTATATTAATAGTTAGTAATAGTTATAATTCAATTTTTTTAATTAATTAATTAATTAAATAATTATTATTATTATTTAAAGAAAAAACTCAATTAACATTATGTATTATAGTATTAATATATATAAAACTTTATAAATTATATTATAGTATTGTATATAATATCATAAATAACCTTACACCAATCAAAATAATAATCATTGAGCACCAGTATGCCGCACTCGGCAATGGTAGCTATCGCACCCAAAATTAATACATATTTTTTGCCCTTAATATAAGTATCGGTCCAGTGGCCAATTAGCATGGTGGCCAGTACCAACGGCAGTACCGACATGGCCAGTTTATATAGTCTAACTTTACGCGACTCGTCCAGTACCGACTGTTTCCATTGTCGGCTACTGTCCTCATCATCGGATAGTATACTATCGGGCATTGTATGCATTTGACGGCACCAATCCTCAGGATAGTGATAGTATTGTAGACATACCTTATCTTCGACTAACTGATCCGTTAGGACACGTTTCATAGTATTGACAAACGTAAAGACAAACAGATAGAGTTCAACAGTTAGCAAACGCAGGAACCAGTAGTAGTGTTTGAACGTATAGGTAATGCCAACCACCTGTCCGGTTGCGGGACGAGGAGGTTGTGATGATTTAGATGATGGTTGAGTAGTTGTCATAATTTTTTTTTTTGGTGAGGTAGGGGTGGGGGACACTTGTATTTTTATTATTATTATAGTATTTATCAAATATAATTATCACTATTTTTTATACGAAAAAAAATTATTATTATTATTAACACAATTAGAAAAATTTAATTATTTTTTCTTAATATTAAAATTAATTTTTAATTAATTGATACATAAATCACGTTAATTAATATTGTGTAAGTTAATATTATATATGATATACATGTTTAAAATAATATATACTGTTTAAAAAAAAATAATTGCAATTAAAATATTTTGTATTATAATTATATATAAACTATATCAATAACAGACAACAAAAATTATTATTATTATTATTTTATGATGATAATAAATCAAAAAAAAAATAGATATAATAAATTAATAAACAAATATCACAATCAAATAACATATAATTTAGATTTTTTTTATTAAGCAATAAATTAATTATTAAATTATTATTATTATTTTAATTGCCGTATAATAAAATGCATTGTATTGTTTTATTTATTTATTTTTAAAACATTAATTATTTTACTATAATAATAATAATAATAATATTTGACAAAAAAATGTCTGATTATACTTATATATAATTTTTGTATATATAATATGTAATATAATATATTTAATACAATAAATTTTATTTATATATATATATATTAAATTTCATATATATAATAGTTGACATTTTATAACTAACAAAATAACAGTATGTATTGTTATCGCACAATGATTTATCGCGTATATTAGCCTTAAAATAAAACATATATATATATATATATATATATATATATATATTAAATATAAAATAAAATAATAAAACTTTGTTTGATAACACTTTATATATATTGCCAGATGATTCACTGGAAATTATAAATTGATTATTTACAATGTATTAAATATTATGTATGTAATTAATGTACAGTATGTATGTATGTATGTATTAACACTAATTTATGTGTGTATGTGTGTGTGTGTGTGTGTGTGTGTGTGTGTGTGTGTGTGTGTGTGTGTGTGTGTGTTAAGTGTATTACACTTTGTATAGCAAAAAAAAACAAAACAAACAATATATTAGTTGATAAAACATATTAAATGAGTGATAGTGTGTATATGTTAGGTAGTCATAGTATTTATCATCTATTTTTTTTTAAAAAAAGTTATAATTTTTAAAAATGTTTAGAAAATTAAAATTTAATTAATTATTTCTATTTTTAGAAAATAAAGAGTAATTTATTTATATTATAATAATAATCATAATAATAGAAATTTGCAATAAATTATTATTATTTTATAATATATAAAAATTTTAAAATAAAAACTAAATTATATTACTTAAAAAAAACTAAAATTACATTATTATTAATTATTTTTTATCAAGGTAATGATAATATTACTACTACTACTAATAATAATTATAGTAAATATATAATGTTAAAAAAATGTATTTATTATAATTATTTATCTCATTTTGTTACTAACCATTATAATTATCAATGAATATTTAGTTATGCATGCATAGTTTTCAATTAAAAAATAATAATAATAATAATTACAAATTAACATTTTATTTTAATGCATCACAGATAATGTTGATTAGATTATTAAAAAATACAAAAAAAATAAATAAATTTACTTATTTTCTAAAAAAAATATTTTATTAATTTAATATTTAATAATTTTATAAACTAAATATTTTTATTAATAATATTTTTGCAAAATATTTTTACATATATATAGATTAAAATGAAATGAAAAAAAATTATTAATATATTCTAAAAATTTAATTAAAAACTACAATTTTTAATAATAATAATAATAATAATAAAACATTTTTATGTTAATGTAAAGTATTTGTAAATAGCTTTATATATAGAGTAAATACATAATAATTTGACATAAAAATAATATGAATGTAAAAATGTTTTATATATAAATTTTATAAAAATGTATATAAATTATGAAAACTATAGTTATTTGTTATATATTTTTAGGAAATATAGACATATAAATAATAATATATACATTATATATATATAAAATATACAATATATATTTTTAAACCATAAAATGTTTATATATATGTATGTGTATTATTTTGTAAAAAAATATAATCAAATATATGTTATTTTTTATTATTATTATTTAAAGTAAATAATCCAAAAAATAAAATAAAAAGTTATTTCATATTTATATATATATATATATATATTATAAATACATTTTTATGTTTACTGTTTATGTATTATAAAAAATACTATACATTTAAAGTATTTGTGTGTATTTTTTCAATGTATTTTTTGTTGTTTAGGTAAACATTTTTCAGATTAGTTTTACATTTTATATATATATATATATATATGATATTATAAATACAATGCATTTTTGAAAACTACAGTTTATATATTTATAGGAAAATACTACTTATGTTTTTTTTAGTTATATTTATATACAGTATATATATTTACGGTATTATATAAGTTATACTTTATATAAATTTTTAAAATAAAAATTTATTTAATATTAAGATAAGTGTACCAACAATAGTATATATATATATACTTAAAAAAAACTACACTAACTTAAAATTTAGGTATATATTGTATTTATAGTAATAGATTTGTGGCTAAAAACAAACAAACGATATATATATATATATACGTGACTTAAACTCAACAAAAACTAAATAAATCTTAAAATTTAAAACAAATTTTTGCTTTCAATTTATTACTGTATATATAAAAAAAGTCTCTGACTTTGACGTGACATTTACTGAAAAAAAAAATTTTGTAGTAGTTTTGTGAATGTTTTTATTATTTTTGGGGATAAAAAAATTAATTTTTTTATAAAAAAAAATTTGACAACAAATGTTATGCCAAATGGGATTATAATTCAACATAAAATAAAAATACTGTAAAAAACTATTTGTATCAAAAAAAAAAAAAAAATTGTAACTATCAGTCACAAAATCCATTGACCAAATTTATTACAAATATATATATATAATACATATATTCATTTTTAATATTATTAATATGATAATAATACTGTAGTAATTGTTATAATTAAAAATTACTATTATCTATAAAAAAAATTAACATACAAACAACAACAAATTTATATGATATTACAATTACAACAATAATGATGATAAAATTTTAACATATGTGGTGGAAATTAATAGTTATTTTTTTTGTTTTGAGAAATTTAATTGCCCTGTACTAATTAATTTTTTGATAGTGTACTAATTAATTTTAACACATGATTTAACTATTTAAATTTTGACTTTACTTATATATATGTATATTATTTGTATGTTAGTGTATTTGTGTGTATGTATGTGTGTGTGTGTATATATGTGTGTATGTGTGTATGTGTGTGTATGTGTGTGTGTGTGTCTGTATGTGTATGTATGTGTGTGTTTGTGTATGTGTGTGTATGTGTGTGTATGTGTGTGTATGTGTGTGTATGTGTGTGTATGTGTGTGTATGTGTGTGTATGTGTGTGTGTGTGTGTGTGTGTGTGTGTGTGTGTGTGTGTGTGTGTGTGTATGTGTGTGTATGTGTGTGTATGTGTGTGTATGTGTGTGTATGTGTGTGTATGTGTGTGTGTGTGTGTGTATGTGTGTGTATGTGTGTGTATGTGTGTGTATGTGTGTGTATGTGTGTGTATGTGTGTGTATGTGTGTGTATGTGTGTGTGTGTGTATGTGTGTGTATGTGTGTGTATGTGTGTGTATGTGTGTGTATGTGTGTGTATGTGTGTGTATGTGTGTGTATGTGTGTGTATGTGTGTGTATGTGTGTGTATGTTTTGTATGATTGTGTGTATGTGTGTGTGTTTGACTAAGTGTGTATAAATAATTATTTATTTTGTTATTCAATGATAAATCTGCTTGAGTTAGCACAAAATAATACTATTAGTTTGTCTAACATTACGATAATATTTAACCGAAAAAAAAAGTTTTATCACAACAACAAAAAATTGTATAAATCATACTTATAATTAACATTTTATGCAAATTTTTTTACTAAACTTTATTTTGTATTTTTTTAATGTTGTTGTTGTCGTTGCTAACCATAATGATTATGATTTTATAGATTATGAAAAAAATAATTATAAGTTTAATAATATGTATTAACATGAAAAAAATATTCATCATATATATTGCAAAATAAAAATTTATTAATAATTTCAAATGTTATTAAAGAATATTCTTTAATATATATATATACCTTATATATATTAAATAGATTTTTAAATATATATATATATATATATATATATTGATTGTAATTAAATATTTTTACTGGGAGTTTACTGTATTATTTATTTTATTTTTTTAATAATTAAATTACACTAGCAAACAAATAAACAAATAGTCATTATTTACATTAGAGATAAATTGTTTTGAAATTTATTTTATTTTATTAGCATAGTATAATTTCAATATAATTAATACTAATAATAATTGTACTTGACTAATTATTAGTCAACATTAATATATATAAAAGTTTCAATTTATAAATTAATTATTAAAAATTATTATTTATTTATTTTTAAATATTATTATTGTTGTTCACATATATCTAATTATAAGTTAATTATAATTTTTTTTGAGGTCATAATTATTAGCTTAATGATGTACAACTATATATATATATATTTATTTATATATATATATATACTATATTGGATTTGATACTAATTATGTTATATATATATACCCAGTTGAACATATATTATAAATGTAATAACTTTCCAAAAATTATTTACTTATTGTATATAAAAAAATATTTCCTATATTGTTGTTGTTATCAGTATCGTTCAAAAAAAAGGGAAATACTGTATATAGTTTTTATGTAATATACAATATATATATACCGGTACATACAAACAAACAAAACAAAAATATTATTATAACATATATACAATATACTATATTATCTAACTATCATTAATATAGTAGCATACTATTGTACTATATATATATATACTGTATATTGTTGTCCGGTAAAAAAA